AAAAAGGGGTCATGTGGCTCGACATGGGCCAAGCGTTAAAATCAGTGTTTGAAAACCCCGCTTGACCTGGCGGGTCAACTCGAAAAACCGGTGAACCGGTGCCTGAGCCGGACCAATTCTTTAATTAGATCGGTCCAACAAATGACCCACTTGAAAACCGGTCCAGTTTCCACAAGTCTGGTTTCCATAAATCCATTTTCATACTGGAGCTCAAACATAAAGAAACTAAACTTCAAGGCCCATACGTAACATATTCAAACCAAAATGCTTAAAGGCTGACATTAAGCCAACAATTGTTGACCACTAGCTACAAGTGGAGAAGTGAAGCACTTTTATAGGCGCATATTCCTTAGAACCACCTGTGAATTTTCGATGTGGGATAGGTAGTGCACTTAAACTCTTTTTGTTTTTTCTAAAAATTTTTCTTTTGATGTTTTAGGCATCATATTATTACTATTTATACTAAATATTCAATATTTTTTAGTGAATTATTTTATGCTCTGTCAAAATATATCAATTATGTAAGCAAATTAATGATTTGAGGATATTTTTTGTCTTTTTATTTCATTTACTATAACATAAAATATGTTATTTTTGTAACTATTATAATTTTTTAGCATATTTATTATTATTATTATTTATTATTAATTATATGACCGGTTCGATCGATTGACCCACGGTTGAACTAGTAACTCATTGACCTGGTCCCTTTGTCGGGTTAGTATCCGGGCCGGGTTTTAAAACTATGGTTAAGATGTATAAATAGGAGTCAAAAAAATCTGATTTTCAGCCTTCTATTCTATTGGTTTGCTGGGTTTAACGTTGGAGATAAGTGAAGAGGAAAAAGAGAAGATTCAAGACTTTTTTCTCAGATATACGAAGTTTCGCCGGTCAGAATTCTTCGAGCCAAGAATTAAAGTCGATCTCCTCGATGAGGGCTACGCAACCATACCAAAAACGAATGTTTTCACCGAATGTTCAAAAAACAAATTTTAGAAAAAAGCTTGGATTAGAGCTCAGGTTAAATTCTTGAAGCCCCCTACATTGATTTTACGCTTCAAGGCAAGGTTTTCATCTTAACTAGGTTTATTTCCAACTAGGATGAATATATGAAATGGGTGGATTGTTTTGTGTATTTTAACACTTGCCTATTATAGTTGGTTTAATGAAAATGGGTAGACTCAATTTTAGTGTAAATTGGTAATTATAAATTGCTAGTTTGTGATTTCTTAGAAGTTTTGAAAATTGGGTTTGTGAAAATCACTTAATCTGATTTTTTTTTGAGTTATGTGATAAATTTGAGCATTTTATGTGATTACATGATTTGGTGTCTTGAAAGTGTTTGATAAAATACCTATGTGAAATAAAGTGTGTTAATTACATGAGATTATGTGATAACATGCTTGGATGATATGGTAAAGTGAAATCATATGCTTATGATATGAATTACAATTAGAAATGTAAATGTTGATATGTGCTTATGATATATTGGCATTAGGGTGAATTATGAAAATTATTTGCTTAGGATGTAATTATCCTTGACATGTGTTGAAATGTGGTAGAAATAATTCATACGACATTTATTACATATGAATATGATATTGATGTTACAATTGCTCATTACATTACATATGCACTGAGGCATCATATTCATGGACATGAGACATGAGTATGGGTGTGTGTGCTTGTTATTAGGTCAAACACCATCCTTGGTGGTTGACAAGTGGAATTGGTATAGTTGGATCAAGGTTCAACAAAGTCGTATGAGTTGCATAAAAAACTTGTGTCGGGTATAACAAGAAGAGCTAGATACTCTTTTGGGGTGCAAGACTCGGTTATTGGTTTATACACTTCTGTCGGTGCAAATTAAAAAAAATGTATCGGTGTGCAAAACCGGCGGTGCGACACCAAAATTTCATTACCCAACAAAGACACATTATTTTGTTTCATACAAAAATGACATCGGATGCATAACATTAATAGCAGGTTTATTACACATTGACATTGTATTGTGTTGTGGGAGACGGTGAGGGTTCGGTTTAAAGTGCATAAGTGAGTCTCATCTCATTTAATGACATTGAGTTGCATATTCTTGTTTGGGATGGTTATTGCTTGTTGAATGTTGCATGTGACATTTCATATGTATCTAGGTTGGGGAGTAGCCTCTGTAGGAGTTACCTTATTAAGCGTGACTCACCCTTTATGGGGACAACATTTCAAGTGCGGGGTACACGTAGGTGGAAGGCTCTTACTTGGGGCCTCAAGGATGAAGAAAAACTGACTTGTGACTTTTAATTCACATTTTGTAAAACTATTGTGAAAAACTATGCTTTTGTAAAACATTCACTAAGTTAGTTTTTGAGCATGTAATGTATGTAAAAGAATTGTAATTGAATTCTTATAGACTATTTTTAATGTAACATTGCATGTTATTATATGAGTATGGATAAATGGTCCCAGTGTGGTCAATGCTTACTCATAAATGGACCCGGGTATGGTCAATACTGTATATTGGACCTCGGATGGGTCATGTGATTGTATAATTGCACATGTTGTGTTTTTGGGTAAAGCTCCCTGTACAAAGGAGACTCTGTCCGAATTTTTTTAAATTGTGAATCTTGGTAAATGGGGTATAACGACGTGATATCGAGTTACATGATATCCATAAATATTTCACGAGTTGATGGGTGATTAATGAGTTGACAAAGGACCCTCTGATTTTTGGGGCATCACATCATATGAAGCCACTACTTACAAAATAATTGTTGGTTCATGAGTGTGACTAGAATACATATCTTTCCATGTTGTTGGACAATTCTTTCATTTCCAATGCATATAATCAATGCTACCCAACATCCCAACAATTCCACGATTGGTACCCATTGCTAATAATTTAGCAATGTCATTATTGTTTGGTGACTTGATGTATTCATAAAAAAAATTGTTACTACCGCTCTCACAAATTTTTTCAAACTTTCTATTATATTGTTTTCATCAATCCTCACATAATCATCAACAACATCTGATGTAACTCAATAACCAAGCATCCTTATAGCAGCTATCATTTTTTGAAGGGAAGAAAAACTAGTAATCCTAACAACATCTTTTTTTTGGACAAAATATGAATTTTAAGCTTCCACCATATATATAATACAAAAGGAAGAGGGTTCAATTTATTCGAAACCTCATCCGAAATAAATTGAGGGGATAAATATGTGATTCAGCAAAATAATTGCAATAAAGTCTCTCATGCCCTTGAACTTGATTGCAAAAATAACTGAATGATCTTGAATAGAATCATGACGTACTCCAGAGCTTTTCGCTACTAAGTTTGTTCAATTTCATAGAACAAATTATTACAATCTCCAATTCATAATAAAAGTCAGAATCATTAAGAATCATTTTGATTGTAGGATAACGAGCCATAACATAAAATCAAAGAAGAGTGCAAGACTAATAAATAGATTTGAGGTGTATGACAATAAAAATGGGAAAATCCTATTTATATATATCAAAAAATATGACAGTTGCAAATATGACGGTTATCAATATGACCGTTAGAAAATTCAAATTTAAAAATTTAGATGACGTGACTATTGTAAATATGACGGTTGAAAAATTTAAATTTTGAAATTTTGCACGTCATCATGTGATGTCATCAATATGCCGATGATGTGGCATGCTACGTAATATTTTATATTATAATTATTAATAGTTACTTAAAGTTAGTTGAAATATTTAGTCAAAATATAAAACGTTATTGAAGTGAATTAATAAGAGTTACTCTTTAAAATAAATAGTGTAATAAAAAAATATATTTTGTCTAGTTATTTTAGAATTGCTATTAAGGAACAAATCTTCCATTCTCTAAACGCTCATAGAAATCATGATGTCTATTTACATCCCACATTTAAATATTGAGCAATAATAGAAGCACTCACGAAAGCTTAAAAAGGCGTAGACACTCACAGAAACACATTTCAAGCATAGTTCCAGCAAATTAATTTCAATCAAGCAACTTGAGCACATTTTGATTTACAAGTTCATTCACAACTACACCCAAAAAAGGGACTCACAACTACATCTGAAAAGAGAGATTCACAACTACACCCAAAACAAGATAAATACTTGGATCAATATAGTCACTGAAAATTAAAAATAAAAACAAAATTTAACTTAAAGATGGTTTGCTGGTGTAAATATTGAATGCTGATGGTGCCAAAGCCGGAGTGCACAATCAACCAGAGGAGTGCCTATTTTTTTGGTTCCAGAAATTTTTCTGGGTTTCTTTCAAGAGGGTTTTTTGCTGGCTTTGCCAACCAAATTCAGAGCATGGAAGATTTGTTGTTTAATGGATGTGTGGGCGAGAAAGTGCAAGGAAGAGGGGACTAAATTTCGTTTTGTTCCTTGAACGAGATGGATAGGCGTAGATATCGTCATTTGTTTTTTTTTTTTTCAGTAATGTTAGATTGATCAAATTTTTAAACTAAATTTAGAGTTCAAATGACATGACAGTTGATTTAAATTTTTTTGATTGGTGTTATGTTATTTGGGTCCCAATAAAAACTTCAAATAATCGATTGCCATGTCATTTGAGTTCTAAATTTAATCAGCGTAGCATTAATCTTTTTTTTTTAAATTTCTTATACAAGGTTGTCTACAAAAACGATGCCGTTTAATGTCAAGATGACGTCGTCTCTCTTAATGGCACGCTGTGTTATTGTCTCATCATATCACATCACATCACAGCAGACAGGACCCTTAAAACGAGGGTTAGCTGTTCAAATATTAATATTTTAAATTGAACTCGTCTTTTACTTTGATCGACTCCATTCGTTTCTGTTTTTTTTTCTCCCGCACTTTCGGTTCTGTATAACTCAATAGAAGGATTTCCCTTCCCGCCTCTCTCTCTCTCTCTCTCAAACATCCACACCCACACCCACACCCACACCCACACCCACGTAAAGAGACACACACAGACTTCGATTGTCTGGAGCAAGATGGAGTTCACTATCAGTGGTAACGCTCTGAAAGGTTTTGCTCGGTCCATCACGTGCCTCGCACGCATAGGCAATGAGCTCGCCATTCAGGCTTCTCCTTCTCAGGTTCGTACTCTTACTCATTCATTTTCTGTCCCATTCCTATTGCTTTCGTAGACGAATTCTGTACATACTTATTGTTGATTCATGGGAAAATCAACATCACTTGGGCTATTTAGTCACTTATTATCTTAAGGGTTTATAGCGATTGGTAAAGGACATACAAGGACCTATTATCTTTAATAGGGCCTTTTTGGTTGTCATCAGAAAAGGCTGGTTGAAGAAATTAATCTGAAATTATGATTACGTAATATTCGTTACCACTAAAAAATGGCAAAATTTTCATCGATGATCCTAAGCTGATATTTTGCTTAACAACGAGATGGGGTATTAAGAGACCTTTGGAAAGGAAACTGAATTGAAACACATGGTTTCCCAATTTGTATCTTTCAAATTCGAAACCACCAATTCCATGCTGCCAAACACAATGCTAACAGAAAAGCCACGAAAACTGGCTGATCAGGGCCATTGGTGTTATCAAGGCTCTGTTGGTATAGCCATGGTGGTCTAAGTCTTTGAGACCCCTTCTAGGTTGTGTGTCTGTGTTGCTGAGAAGGGTAGAAAAAAGCTGGGGCTCTTATCATAAAGGTATTACTTGCATCTATTGAAAACATAGTTGTAACGAATTCCTTTTAACTGGCAGTTCACTTTTCACACCCTCAACTCATCAAGGTCTGCCTATCTGTCTATTACATTCAAGCCAGATTTCTTTGATGTCTATTCAATCTCTGGAACCCAGGTTCAATGCAGCGTGCTTTTGAAGGTATACTTTTCAATTCATGCACATTTGTGAGTGTCGACTTCATTTTGTAACTAGTTTTTTTTATTCTGGCATTGATGTTTACAGGCCATTTGTTCAGTTCTTAGGACACCCATTACAAGCATTGGTCAGTTGAGTGTGCTATTAACCGATCCTGATGCATCAAAATTGCAATGGACCTTAGACTGCTATAACGGTGAAGTGTTTTTGCGCAATTCTTTGTGTTATTTGTTCTTCTGATGTGATTTATACATGGAAAAGGATCTCCTACACGCAAATATCTAATTTTGAGGTGGCAACAGAGTTGTGATTTGAACGTTGTGATTTACCATTGGATTACACAAAAGAAGTAATAGCTACTTATCAAGAAAATGAAAAAAAAAAAGGATCGCTGGTTATCATGTCGGGAAACAATTAAAGGCTTTTAGAACATCATTTGCAAGCTCAATTGTTTCTTCGAGTCTACTGCAACTTCAACAGCAGTTCAATAGATAGTTTGTTTAGTAAGTTGGATCATCATTGTACGTACTAAAACTTATTGAATAAAGTATCACATGTATGTACCATGCCTTTCAACACAAATGTAATTTAGTACTTTGTCTGAATAAGATTTGCTGTTTCATGATATCATGGCTAAGAGAGCTAATATACAGCTTTGTTGACCAATAATTTATCTTATTGGATACTTAGGAAATGCTTCACTGTGGGTACATAACTCCAACATGGTAATTAGAACCTTTATAATTATGTTTTCTTCCAGTGATTCATTTATCCGCACATTTTACTTAGATTGGGCAATTATAAATTAAATCTGAAGTTGAGCTTCCATGAGGAGCAGAATGATTGAATAGTTGGAACTTTTAATTTTGTTTCAAGACGTGCATAAGTAGAGTTGCAGCGACAGCATGAAGATGTATGTATTACATAACCTTCCTGTAATGTAACTACCGTTGAAGTTTTGAGCAACTCCATACTAATTTAGCAGGTATGAGAAAGGCCTATTGGATAAATTGCCATGTTGAGCCAGACATACAACATCTGTCCCTTGATAGAAGAAGGCTTCCAAGCAGTTTTGTTGTGAGACCTCGTGATCTCAACAGATTGCTGGCTAATTTTCAGACTACCATTCAGGAAATTACCGTCATTGCAACAGAACCCACTTCATTACCATCTGATGTTGCAAGTGAAATTGGCGGAAAAGCTGTTGAACTTAGAAGTTACATAGACCCAACCAAAGGTAGATTAAGGAATATCCTTTTCTTTTCACTTCCTGAGCTTTCATTCAACAGTCACATATACAATTGTGTGTAAAACTGTATTGTTGTTCCAGACACACCTTTATTAAGTTTCAAGTTTCCAATTGTAGACAATGACTCCTCACTACACACTCAGCTATGGATAGATCCCACCGAAGAGTTTGTGCAGTACAGTCACAGTGGAGACCCTGTAGATGTGACATTTGGTGTGAAGGAATTGAAGGTGCAGTACACAATGCTCTAAAACCTAATAATCCTTAAGTTGTATCAACTGATTTGTCGCAGGATTTTATTTCATCTTAACAAATATTTCATCCCAAGTTCCAAGTGATGAGCGTTGTTGTCTTTTGATGAAGATGTCATCACATAGTTTGCGTAATTATCATGATAACTATGTCTATGCATTTGCTANACATCATTTGCAAGCTCAATTGTTTCTTCGAGTCTACTGCAACTTCAACAGCAGTTCAATAGATAGTTTGTTTAGTAAGTTGGATCATCATTGTACGTACTAAAACTTATTGAATAAAGTATCACATGTATGTACCATGCCTTTCAACACAAATGTAATTTAGTACTTTGTCTGAATAAGATTTGCTGTTTCATGATATCATGGCTAAGAGAGCTAATATACAGCTTTGTTGACCAATAATTTATCTTATTGGATACTTAGGAAATGCTTCACTGTGGGTACATAACTCCAACATGGTAATTAGAACCTTTATAATTATGTTTTCTTCCAGTGATTCATTTATCCGCACATTTTACTTAGATTGGGCAATTATAAATTAAATCTGAAGTTGAGCTTCCATGAGGAGCAGAATGATTGAATAGTTGGAACTTTTAATTTTGTTTCAAGACGTGCATAAGTAGAGTTGCAGCGACAGCATGAAGATGTATGTATTACATAACCTTCCTGTAATGTAACTACCGTTGAAGTTTTGAGCAACTCCATACTAATTTAGCAGGTATGAGAAAGGCCTATTGGATAAATTGCCATGTTGAGCCAGACATACAACATCTGTCCCTTGATAGAAGAAGGCTTCCAAGCAGTTTTGTTGTGAGACCTCGTGATCTCAACAGATTGCTGGCTAATTTTCAGACTACCATTCAGGAAATTACCGTCATTGCAACAGAACCCACTTCATTACCATCTGATGTTGCAAGTGAAATTGGCGGAAAAGCTGTTGAACTTAGAAGTTACATAGACCCAACCAAAGGTAGATTAAGGAATATCCTTTTCTTTTCACTTCCTGAGCTTTCATTCAACAGTCACATATACAATTGTGTGTAAAACTGTATTGTTGTTCCAGACACACCTTTATTAAGTTTCAAGTTTCCAATTGTAGACAATGACTCCTCACTACACACTCAGCTATGGATAGATCCCACCGAAGAGTTTGTGCAGTACAGTCACAGTGGAGACCCTGTAGATGTGACATTTGGTGTGAAGGAATTGAAGGTGCAGTACACAATGCTCTAAAACCTAATAATCCTTAAGTTGTATCAACTGATTTGTCGCAGGATTTTATTTCATCTTAACAAATATTTCATCCCAAGTTCCAAGTGATGAGCGTTGTTGTCTTTTGATGAAGATGTCATCACATAGTTTGCGTAATTATCATGATAACTATGTCTATGCATTTGCTACCTATTATGATTTTCCATTTCTCAATTCTGGAATAGTGGAGTGTCGTAATTTCTATAATAGAGTAATTTCTGTAAAATGTTTCTGTTATTTGTGAATTACAGGCATTTCTTTCTTTCTGCGAGGGATGTGAAGTTGACATCCACTTATATCTTGAGAAAGCTGGCGAGTAAGATTATATACTCTCATCTTTTGTATTTGAGGGGAAAAAAGACAAAATTAATTGTTTTTCCTTTGCCATACTGGTTTTCTGTGCACTGCTTCAGCTTTGTTTTGCCTTGTCTTTTTTTTTTTTTACCCCTCTCTTGTTGTTAAGATTTACACTCCACTCTGAAATGTTAAAATGGACTACTAGCCTGGAAATGAAACCCGATAGTGCGATAGTATGGGTTCTTCGGTTCATTTTTGTATTCCTAATGCACATGTATAACATTATAAATCAGGAAAGTGCCTAGTGCCTTTTGGATATATGTGAAACACTTTTTGGTAATTCCAATACTTCGAACTTTAAATTATAGTTCTGACTGATAAGTGACCTGCCCCCTAGACTATGAGTCATATCCAACCAAATTGTCATTAGTGCTTAAGGTTATACCAACTTTAATAGATCTTATCTGATCCACCGTTTTTAGATTAAGGGCGCTATGTTTAAATTTTAAAACCTTGTATTTTACAACATCTGCACTTGTTAAGCTGTTAACAGAGTATGCCCTATTTATCAATGTTTTTGGATTGACATTCTTGTTTGTCGTTGTCTTGTTGAGGTTTGAGACCCAAGATTTATGGTTGCTAGGTGTGAGATTGATCTTAGAAAAACATTTGAATTTGGGGAACAGGCCTATCCTTCTGGCTCCTAAATTCAGTCTGGATGATGGCTCTACTTCAAATTTTGATGCTACTCTTGTACTTGCAACTATGCTTGTATCACAACTCAATGAAGGAAACTCCACAGAACCTCCATATGTGGCGATGCCAACACATGGGCAGGCTGATCATAGGACAAGGTCCCAAGCACAAGACCGGCCAAGAGGGGCAGTTTCTGAGCATCCATCTGATCACACCAGAATTTGGTCCGAACTTTCAGGTAATTGTTTGTTCATTTTATCCTTGTTTGTTCATGTTATATAATGGCAATGCAGCTTTTATGAATCTCAGGCTTTCATCTCCTTGCAATTTGTACAGGAAGTGCTGTGAAAAGTGGTAATGGTGCTGAAGAAAGGCAGGTTCACGCGGAAAGATATTCAAGTGCCGACAAACAAAGGGAGATTCAAAGGATTAGCATGATGCATATCGGTATCATTGCTGCAGGAAATATGCCTCCTGGTCCTAGTCAGTATCCTAAAATTTTCTATTTGCTTGTGAGTCCAAATTACGATTGGCAATCGAGGGACAAAATTGAGTTGATACACTGCTAGCCGTTGGGGGGAGGATTAAGATGGCGTTGCTGTGGCAAATTAAAATGTTATTGCTTGAGATGAAAAAATACGGTAGATATGAGGCTCTAAAATATTCTAAGAACAATCAAGTTCTGTGGAAATACTTGTTTTTGCAGAATTTAGCAGTAGTAAAAATGAGAAATTGGTTCACAAACAAACAAAAGACATCATCTACATGTCATCAATAAAAGCGTAAACATAGATAGCATAAGATTAGGGATTGATGATTCAACAGTCCATATAAAGATTTCTTCTTTACTGTGCCATTTGAAAAGTAGACATTTTTATGATTTAACAAAAGGAAAGCAATAAGCTTAACTTCTGAGAAAGATCAATAAAAAAAATTGGGATGCCACTACTGTAAAAAAGCACGAAAGCCATGAACCTTAACAGGCCTCAAGAGAGTTTAGCCCTTGTCTTGAGCTCTAAACAGAAATGTGGTATGATAGACTACAGTTGAAGGAAAACAGTGAAATGGTTATCCAACTGAAGCACAAGAAACTCACTTTCAAATTGGTCAGGACAACCTGTTTCTGTGAATTTTTATATATGTTTGAATGAGGCCAATTGTTTACTAGAAAAGAAGGGTGAGTAGTTTTCTTGACTAAATATATCAGCTGCCATCCAATGGAAACAAATAATGCAGAAGAAGCTCGAGGTAAGTTGGAGTGCTGTTTGTTTGGTTGCACCTTTCAAATGTGGTTAGTCTTGCAGTGAATGGCACCATAGTGATGTCTTTTTTTTCCATGATCCTATATGGGGCAGAAACTTGTGGTCGTGCTTTGTCACAACACCATCCTAGTAACTGGGTAGATGCAAATGAGGATGAAGACGAAGGAGATGAGACAGGACTCTGTGTTCAGTCAACGCCTCCATACTACGAAGAACAATAGCAATGATACCACTGTCTTCATTCTTGCGAAGGGACTGGATGGGCTGCTATTCTTTTGTAGTAAGTGTGTGGGTCTCTTTCATTGAAGTGCTTTCCTGCTTTAGGTTTTCTACCTGTTTCTTCTCCTGATCTTAAATTTTGATTTTTTTTTGCACAACATAGATTTTTATTGAGTTTAGATTTATAATCTACACTATTTTATTAACATATATAAAATATGAGCAGTGCTATATTTGGAGACTTAATCAGGGATTTAATCCAATTCAACTATTGAATTAGTGGTGAGTTAGCCAACTTTCAATATAATGGTTGCATTAAATTAGGTTTCTAAACTAGATCCAAATAGTATTTTCCATAAAATATAGGGTGTGCTCACCCTTAAGTCAATTTTTGGCTCCACTCCTAGGGGAGAGAACTTGTTCGTCTGAGGCTTAGGAATGCTCGGTAGTGAAAGGTTGCTCTGGTATTGTCACCTTTTCCCTTCATTGCTGGGACCCGCTGGTGCAACCGAATCGACTTATGTGTCAATGGACTAGGAATATCGACTGCATTGCCTTCACCACGGAGAGATTAGCACAAAGCCCAATGAAGACATACATAAAGATATGACCCTTGTACACGTGGATCAATCGGGTGATAATCTAAGAGACACCATCATTCAAGTGTTGACCCCGAGTAGAGTCATCATTTGTGGACACGCTCTCAAGCGCGGTAATCAAGCAATTGGTGACCCCAACCAGCCTCAGGCTATCCCTAAGCCTATTAAATGTGTGGCGCGGAGCCACCTAGTGTTGGGACGGGAACACTCTCTGGTCAGACAATCAATTGCATGATTGCCCCGCCATACATGTCAACAAGTTGGAGGATTTCACTCCAGAAAAGTTGTCAGACTTGTTTGCCAGAACATCATTATGGATGATTCACATCAGCACCCCGCGAGGTATAAATAGCCCAAGGTTTGGGCCTTAGGTACGCAAGTGTAACTGAATACTATTATAGTATCTTTTGTATCTCATCTTTCATGCATTGACTGGTTTAAGCATTGGAAGGAACAGTGTTATTTAAGGCGTTAAGCGAACCGAAGCGATCAAGGCTCTTAACGCCTAGGCGAGAAGCGAAGCGAAACGATTTACCAAAGCGAAGCGAGCAGTTAAAAAAATAAATAAATATTTTAGTGTAATTACTTATACATATCAAAGTTTTAATTTTATATATACTAAATATTTAAATGCAAGTAAAACCATAAACATTTAAATTAAAACAAATACTAATAATATTGTAAATCTTAATAACAGTCATAGCTTAAACATTTAAATTCATACAAACACTAATAATATCCCAAATCCTAATATTTAAAAACATAAGACACATAATTCAAGCAACTAAAGAAAATATCTCAAGGACTTAGAAATCAATCCTCATCACTAAAGAAACCATCTTCTTCATTATCCTTAGATTCATATCCCTCAGTATCCTCCTCCTCTGCCTCATCTGAAATTATGTCTTCCTCATCTGTGAGTCCAGTCGTCGATCTTGTAAACCTTGGTGTTACCCTAGTAGATGGTATTGATCTAGTCCATTGGCTACTTTCCGTAACTCCAGAAGCTCGAGCAACTTCGCCCCAAGTCAAAATATCATCACCAAACACAAGCTCATTATCTTCATCTGTGTCTGCATCCATTCTCCCAATCAACCACTCATTGCTATCATCAATATCCTTCAAAGATATTGGATCAATTGTGTCACGAGAATCATATCGGCGCCTCAAAGCTCTATTATACTTAACAAACACCAAATCATTGAGACGGGATTGAGCTAGTCTATTTCTTTTTTTGGTGTGTATCTGCAATAATTTATTAACAATACATTAAAATTTATAATAAGATTAANATTCTATTTCTTTTTTTGGTGTGTATTTGCAATAATTTATTAACAATATATTAAAATTTATAATAAAATTAAAAAAAAATGTAATTGAAGAGGTTTGAGGATGATACTTACATGCTCAAACACACTCCAATTTCGCTCACAACCGGATGCACTACAAGTAAGGTTTAAAACTTTTTTTGCAAAGGTTTGCAAATTTGGAGTTGCAGACCCATATGCACTCCACCAATCAGCTGTGAATAATGAATAACAATTAATTAACTAACATATTTAAGCAATGATAATGAAATAAGCTTGTGGGATAACATAGATTACCTGATGCCCTAGTTGTTCTTTGTCTAACCGCCATGGGCAACTTAAAGAGGTTTTCACCTTTCATGTAAATACTCAACTCTTGACCAATTTTATCTTGTATCGCAGGATTTGAGACCAACTTTTCCAAACATTTATATAGGCCATTCATGACTTCTTGATCTTTCTCAACCTCTGGATTGGAATAGAAAAACTCTGGGTTCAAAAAATACCCAGCTGCATGCAAAGGCCGATGCAATTGAACTTCCCACCTTCGGTCAATGATTTCAAATATGTGTTTGTACTTCTCTTCATTGCCATTAAAAGAATTAGCAATCGCTTCTTTAGCCCGGTCCATAGCTTCATAAATGTACNATCCAGCTGCATGAAAAGGCCGATGCAATTGAACTTCCCACCTTCGGTCAATAATTTCAAAGATGTGTTTGTACTTCTCTTCATTGCCATTAAAAGAATTAGCAATCGCTTCTTTAGCCCGGTCCATAGCTTCATAAATGTACCCCATGGGAGGCTTTTTCTCACCATCAACCAATCGAAGCACACGGACAAGAGGGCCAGTAAGCTTAAGAGAGTAGACAACATTACTCCAAAATGAAGGCATTAAAATGATTTGTGCTGTCCNGACTTTTTCTCACCATCAACCAATTGAAGCACACGGACAAGAGGGCCAGTAAACTTAAGAGAGTAGACAACATTACTCTAAAATGAAGGCATTAAAATAATTTGTGCTGTCCTTTTGCCTTGTTGTTCTTTTGTCCATTTGTTTGTAGTCCATTCCTTTGAAGTGAACATTTTTCTCAAGTTATCTTTTTGTTGGTTGATCCTTGTTAGCGTAAGAAAAGCCGTAGCAAATCTAGTTTTTGCGGGCTTAATCAACTCCCTTGACTGGGTAAATCGTCTCATCATATTCAACAGAGTTGGATGGTTATAAATATAACTGTGTAATGCTATTCCTCTTTCAAATGTTGTCTTGAAGTTTGGCAACTTGAAGATATCTTCCAATACCAAGTCCAAGCAGTGGGCAGCACATGACGTCCAATATAGATTGGGTCGTTTTGCCTCCAAAAACTTACCTATTAAATAAAGATTTTTTTANATCTTCCAATACCAAGTCCAAGCAGTGGGCAGCACATGACGTCCAATATAGATTGGGTCGTTTTGCCTCCAAAAACTTACCTATTAAATTAAGATTTTTTTATCAACTAGTGTGCATAAAAAAATTCAATATAACAAGTAGTTATCTTTTTTTTTTCAAGAAGCTCATACCTGCTAACACATTTGCTGCCGCACTGTCAGTGACAATTTGAAACACATTAGCTTCACCAATACGTTCTACAAAATTATCAACCAATTCAAATATTTTTTGCCCATCCTTTGAGAATACAGAAGCATCAACAGATTCAAAGAACATGATCCCTTTTGGACAATTCACTAAGAAATTAATCAAGGTTCTCCCTCTCTTGTCAGTCCATCCATCGGCCATTATGGAACATCCATATTTTGCCCAATCCTCTTGGTGATCTTTCATCAATGATTTTATATGCCCTACTTCTTTGTTGAGCAATGGGACCCGAACCTCATGGTAAGAAGGGAGTTTCAAACCAGGACCATATTGTCCAAAAGCTTCAACCATTGCTGCAAAACTTTCTTAGTTCACAACATTAAAGGGAATTCCCGTGTCATACATTTATCGGGCAAATGCTGTGATGACTCTTTCTCTCATTTCCTTTCTAAAAGGATCGCTGGCATCAATATTCGTTTGTCTCCCTTTGGTCTTTCGATTTTGCACCACAACATTCGGATCAGGGGTGAAGTATACATCTATAGGCCCTTTTTGTCTTGGCTTTTTTGGTCTCGATGTGGCTTGTGTAAAACCTTGACTAGAACTAGTCATGGATCTTTTACGATTCGCAACAATCTCTACAATATCATCTTCATCCTCCTCCAAGTCATTAGGCATCTCATCAAAGTCGGAAACCATGTTCATTAGATTCTTCTCTTCCTTTTTTTTAGCCATGTATTCTCTAATCTCCTCCCTAACATGAGTAGGGCATTTTGGACAAGTAATAACACTCGTAGAGTTCTCCGCTAGGTGTTGCTTGACCCGATAGACACCTCCATTTGACTCTTTTCCACAAAAATTACATTTGAACTTGTTTGTGTTTTGAGGATTTACCAAGTGTGCATATTTCCATGCCGGATCTTTTTTGTTCCCTTCGGACGACGATGCCATTTATGAATAACGCTATCACACTACAATCAAAGGAACAAAACACATTCACATGTACTGAATCACATTTCATATCAGTTGTAAACAATTTTATATTGACAGGACAGGACAACAAAAGAAGCAGAATCAGGACAGCAGTAGAATGCAACAACAAAAATAAAAAGCAGACGACTGAGGAAAAAAAAAATAGAAGCAACACAGGAGTAATTTTGTATTGACTGGACAGAAGCAGAATTAGGACAACAACACAAAAAAAAACCAGAAGCAAAATGAGCAAAAAAAAAAAAACCAGAAGCATTACGTTGTAAACAATTTCATATTTCACATGTAAACAATTCAACTTGTCTGAATGCATTAAGTCTTGCATTTTCATTTGTTTGTATAATTCTTATGCAGTCTCCGACCATATTATTACCAAATGAAACTAAGCTTACACATGATTATTCACCAAAGGCATGCCCCACCCCAAATTTTTTTTTCAAAATAAGTTATTTTTAAATTTATTTCTCAAATTCAATCACTTTTAAAAAGACATTATTTTAAATAACGCCTTCATGAATTAAAAGATTATTTGAAATAATGTTTTTAAAGACATGATTTGGCATGACGCCTTTAACGTACTACACATCAAATTTAGTTCAATATTTATATTTAGTACGTGAAAGCGTTATATTTAAACGTCTTTTAAAAATGACTAAATTTAAGAAATAAGTTTGAAAGTGATTGATTTTAAAAAAAAATAAATTTTTGAAGTGCATGGGTTTGGTGAATTCCTCCTTGTTCACAGAAAGCATATATGATACCAAAATCAATGGCTCCACGAATTCAATAATCCTCTGCCCAATTTTTCTTGTATTTTCTATAGAATACCTATGAAGCATTATAGTGAGTTCGCTAATCCAATGATGTAAAGGGACTAATGAGAAAAAAAATAGTAAAAAATTGATAAGTAAAACCTTATTAATGCTATCAAATTATGTAAAGTAAAGGCACACCATATACCAACAAATTATATTAAAAATTTAGATTCAAATAACATTGTTCTATTATTCGAAACACGGGCCTAATCACCTATAATGATCATATCATGTGAGAGTGAGATGCCATCAAAGCTTAATTAAATTGTATTTCGGACTGGAGTTTCATTCACAATTTTTTTTTTGTCTAGGCTTACATCTGGTTTTAACTCCTTACATTTTTATGGGATCTTCATATGGATTGGAGTTTGGACAGCAACATAAGGAAAAAGCAAGAAAAAAAAAAACAGAAGCATAATCGAAGCAGAATAGGGTAGAATCAGAGCAGGATAGGGTAGAATCAGATCAAGAAAAAAAAAAAAGGAGAATAAGTAGAATCGGTAAAGGAGTAGAAGACAGAAGAAAAAAAAATAGAAGAGAGAAGAAGAAGAGACTAACCTCCACAGTCCAGACCAGCCCTCCAAACCCAACGATATCTCTGGCCAGCAGCAACGATGGTGTAGANTGAAGGAGCGGAAGACAGAAGAAAAAAAAAATAGAAGAGAGAAGAAGAAGAGACTAACCTTCACAGTCCAGACCAGCCCTCCAAACCCAACGATATCTCTGTCCAGTAGCAACAATGGTGTAGAAGTAGCGAAAAACTCGAAGCTTTGGAGTGTAGCAGTGGAGAACAGCACCGATCGTGTAGCAGTGAAGAGCAGCATCGATCGAAGCAGTGGAGAGCAGCACTGATCGATCGTGTAGCAGTGGAGAGGCAGCACCGATCGAAGCTATCTGAGAAAAAATGAGACAAAATTAGGTTAGGAGTTTTATTTATAGGATAAGGGAATAATTTGGTACATTAACATCTTAAATTTTTTTTTACAATTGCCCAATCCAACGGTCTAAATTAAAAATAAAATATTTCGCCTCTTATAACAAAAGCGAACGCTTTTTCGCTCATGTTCGCTTCGCCAGGGGTCCTCCAGGCGAGCTAGTCTCGCCTCGCCTCGCTTCTCGCCTAGGCGAGCGCCTAGGCGCGCTTTTCATAACACTGGGAAGGAATACATCGAAAGATCTTCTAGCCCCTTTCCTAACCTTCTTTGGTGTTATAAGAACCATGGTGAAAACCATCGAGGTCACTACCTCTTTGGGTTGCCTGAAATCATCTTGTGCAATACTCATTTCGAATATTGCTTGTATCCTCCATTGTTTGGAAAGAAGTTGAAAGAAAATTTTAGTTATTGTCTAAACAGAAGGATCATTTTTGTACATCACATTAGTTAGATGATGCGGAGTAGGCTGATAATTGACTAACATCTCAATATAAACGAAGGGGGAATAATTGTAAAACCAACAAGCATTTTTGTTAAATGACTAAGATTTAAAATTTTGCACAATAAGGAAATAGGATTCATGTAGTTGACCCCAAAAATTTTGGGACAAAACTTTATTGAGTTGAGTTGCTAAAATTTAGAATTTGCTTTAGTCACCCCATCAACCATTGCCCTGTGAGTTTATATTACCTTCTTTGTTTAATAAGATTAACATGTAATGAATGATGTGTCCCCTTGGTTAATAAGTCAAGCATGAGTTGAGATCATATTACGACCTTGGGACATTGAGAGGATAGGATTAAAGAGCATCACACTTACTTTTTATCTGTTAAATTTTGTTCTCCTGCTTTCTCCAAGACATGTAGTATCCTTCATTTTAGAGTTTTATAAATATTAAGCTTATCAGGCTAGTGACAAAGAAAGTACACTGGCTCAAATTTAGTTTTACTTATGTCTTTAGGTGTGGACCTTGGCGAAGTAATAAGGTTGCTTGATTGTGACCTGGGCATTAAGGGTTTGAGTCGTGAAAATAATCCCTCCGTATGCGGGCATAAGACTGTGTATATATGATCATCCCTAGGCCCTATAGTGGTGGGAGTCTCCTGTCATGGGCTGCTCTTTTCTCTCCAAGGAATAGTTTGGTACAAAATATCATTGTAGGTCTAACATGTAAAATGTGTGAATCTTCGTTTTTGCTCTAATTTTTTCCAAATATTGTTCTTAGGTGTAATGTGTAAATTGCATGCTCGACTAGTTGTCTATCATATGTTGTTTGAATGTGTATATGACCTTGGTCTCTGAACTCTAGTTTCAACCAAATAATATTCCTAGATGGAACGCATAAACAGCATGAGCCATGTGCAGGCGTGGTGTGTAGGGGTTTATCCGTATGAGAGAGAGATCTCCCAAGCTCTCAAAGTTAGGTCATGGCTATTATAAAGTCTCTCAAGATCTCTTTTAGGGAGTATGATCCATTAAATTTATGCAGTAGTTTCCACAGCTGTATTTTAAGTGTGACGTGAGTCTTAGCATTTAATTGTATCCAATGCCTTCGTCTAACATGTTTGTTGCACGAATATGCTTGATGGATTTTGACATCCGTGGGAGTAATATATATATATTTTTTTGGAAGTGGGAGTGGGAGGGGGAGAGGGAGGTGGAGGGGAAGGGAGACTTGAACCTTTGATCTCAAGAAGACAAAATTTTCACAAGGTAAGGAGTATTATTATTGGATCAAAGGTCCGTTGATCATGTTAGAGTAATATATGATCATCAATGATATGAAAGTTACAAGTGAAGACCTAGGAAACACGGATACTGTGATACGGATACGATATGATACAGACAAGACGATACAACAAAACTTAAAAAAATAGGATACGGGTACGGATTTTGGACTGGCCCCCTTCGCATGACCTAGAAAGAAAAAGAAATCCATGCTACTATAAGACCTCTAAACTTCTCCCATAGAACACTGTTGCGTTGCCCATGGAGACGGTGTAGCCCCGACTTCCATAGGTCCTTAGTTTGACCTCTTAATGAGAATGGAGGTCCATGTGCGGGCGTCTCCTCTCTAAGACTTGCTTGCTTTGTATGGAGGAAGTAGCCATGTTTGCAACGCTTATGCTTGCAATGGAAAGAGCATTTGTGTATATGATATCTCATTCGGAGTGGGAATCATTCATTTTGTTCAATGTAGGCTATCTTTCTAAAAAGTGGTTTTCATACCTTCTCGTCACTCCCTTGTTTGACAGTGAGGGAATCTTAAGTACATTGTTTCATCAAGTAGTCCTTCTGGCACTGAAAGGGGGAAAACATCCAATTCCATGCCTCCCCCCTATCGAATGGAGTTGCCCTATTATTAACATTTTCTGAAAGAAGTCCTTCTCTACCAAGGAAAGATACCACAAATCGGATTCTGTAACCTACTACCTTTGGGATTAGGAAATTTTTCTTTGAAAAAAATGTAATATCATCTCGTTATGATATATTCACAAAGTGCGCATGACCAATTAAAGGAATTAGAATCATATTTAACTAGTTGGTTTGTTTACAAGTATTTGTTTTTAAGATTATAGTGTAACTAACTCATTTTTTTATTCTTTTGACATGTAATTGTAGATAATACTTAAAAAACACTCGTGTATTCAAAATCAGACGAAATTTTGTTGATATTTTGTATTGTATGTGAACTCAAAAGGAGAGGATATAGATTAAAATTAAAAATTATACATCTTGCTTCATGTTTTGAAATATCCGCGAAGTATTCACATATTTTATTAATTATCGGAGACGTATAATACGTATTCGATATGTATTTTTGAGTATCTGACAAGCATCGCATCCGATATAAGTATGTTGACCTTGACGAAGGATTCGTGCTTCATAGGTAACGTTGTGATGATAAATGCAACTGTAATAAGCATACAGGTGGCTTATGGTGCTTTTGGGCAACTTACAAAAGCAATAATTTTTGTAGCCATGATATTTATTTTACTTGTTCGGAGAACATGGAATATAGTGGCTCATGCCTTAGCCAAAAGTGTAAGCTTTGTTGATGTATGCATCTGATTGGAGGAACACCTGTCTTTATATGGCCCTTGTGATTTCTGTTTTATTTGCTTTCTAATAAAATGTTACCTATTTAACAAAACGAAAAATAAAAAAGAAATAATTATAGATTTTTCGGCTTTTTTTTTTTTTTTTTTTTTTTTT